AAAGAATAAACACACGACACAGTAACCAAAATAACAAAACTTAACCGTGACGGTCCAAAGGCTAACACACAAGCCTAAACAGGAACACAACAAGATCCCACAACACAGGCAGGAAAACTGGCTGCCTAAGTATGATCCCCAATCAGAGACAACGAGCGACAGCTGCCTCTGATTGGGAACCACACCCGGCCAAACATAGAAATACAAACCTAGAATATTCACACCCTGACCAAACTAGCTAGAGTTCTATAGGCCAGGGCGTGACAGTACCCCCCCCCCCCCCCCCCCCCCCCCCAAAGGTGCAGACTCTGGCTGCACAAACCTGACTGAATAGGGGAGGGTCCGGGTGGGCTTCCAGCCTCGGTGGCGGCTCTGGCTCCGGAGTGGAGCCGCTGACCGGAGCTGGCTTGGGCACCGGTGGAATGGGCACGGGTCGTGCCGGACTGGCGACGCGCACCACTGGCTTGGTGCGAGGAGCAGGAACAGGCCAGGCCGGACTGGCGACGCGCACCACTGGCTTGGTGCGAGGCGCAGGAACAGGCTGGGCCGGACTGGGAACACGCACCACTGGCTTGGTGCGAGCAGCAGGAACAAGCCGGGCCGGACTGGGAACACACACCACTGGCTTGGTGCGAGGAGCAGGAACAGTCCGGACCGGACTGGGAACACGCACCACTGGCTTGGTGCGAGGAGCAGGAACAGGCCGGGCCGGACTGGGAACACGCACCACTGTCTTGGTGCGAGAAGCAGGAACAGGCCGGGCCGGACTGGGAACACGCACCACTGGCTTGGTGCGGGGAGCAGGTACGGGGCGTACCGGACTGGGAACCGATGCTGGAGGTCTATGACTGTCTCCGTCCTTTACACTCCGCGCCCCGTCCTCCTCCAGTGAGGACTCCTCCTTGAGCCCCCACGAGTGCAGTGGTCGGGGCTCCTCTCTGTCGCTCCCCGACCACCCTTTTAGCCCCCCCAAAATTTTTTATTGGGGCTGTCTCTCCTTCTCCACCCTGATCCCTTTCAGGGCCTCCATCTGCCTTGCTAGATCCTCTCTTATCTCCCGCCAAGTCCATACTCTCTGCTCCTCCTGGGCACGCTGCTTGGTCCATTGTTGGTGGGATCTTCTGTCACGTACGTTAAGGAACGGGACGGACCAAGGTGCAGCGTGAAAGGCGTACATGTTTATTAAAGAATAAACACACGACACAGTAACCAAAATATGATCCCCAATCAGAGACAACGAGCGACAGCTGCCTCTGATTGGGAACCACACCCGGCCAAACATAGAAATACAAACCTAGAATATTCACACCCTGACCAAACTAGCTAGAGTTCTATAGGCCAGGGCGTGACAACTATCTCCTGTATTGGTCTGTCTGCTAAGACATGCCATTGTTTTTATTGAATAATTGTAGTGAAATGTGACAAATTTGTACTTGGTCTGTACACATTTTTGCTAAACCAGGGTTGTATATCAACAATACCCTCCCTTCCTCTCTTGGGACTCTGTCACCATGTTATACACCTTTCCATTAACTTTTCCTCCTTCCTGTAACATTTAAACCATTCCTGTGATACTATAGATTCACTTTCTTAGAATGAACCATTCTGTTTGAAATGAGCCTATTTCAACATATTTACAAAGGCAATTTTAGTATGGTGTCCTTCCAAAACAAAAAGCACTTTCAGATCCAACACAAGAATGTGCATCAAAGAAATTTGAACAAAAAGTTGACTGTGTGTTTCAGAGGGTGTATATATAGACTTCAGAAGGGAAAACCTCAAAATAGAATACCAAAGAATGATCAAAGAATGATCATCACATTTCGACAGAAGGATATGTGAACATGTCTTCAGTATGTCCCACAAGCTGTGATCCCAAGGCCGTTTCAGGGGTAATTCATTTAGTAGTATTGGTCACAGACCGTTTCTATTTTTGCAAAACACAGACATTCTTTTAGGAATAAATGCGTCCATTACTCTGGATGGCCCTCTGACGTCTATAGTAAGACTATATCTATGTTTAACTTAATTGGCAGCGTAATAAGAGCAACATGTAATTCTACAGAAGCATCCTGTCAAAACAACACATTTTTTGCAGACAGATCACATGTGTGAGCGCACATGAGAGGCTGCGACTGGAGTATGCCACACTACGAATATTTTAAATACTTCTACTAACTTCTATTAACAGAGGCATGTTCCCGCCGTGGAAGTAAACATTTTCTACAGTGTTGAACATCTTGCCAAACCTTTGAAACGACTTTTAGAATTAAATATAACTTTCTTCAACACAGCTCCCATGAGCTAGAGTTGCAGATAAACATGGTAATTCTGCACAGACTGCAAAATATTTACACACATTTCATCTGAAGTCCCAGTTTTGTTAAGAAACAATTATTTCCTTGCCTGAAAGATGTTCACATTATATGTTGATAACAAGTCATCTGATGATTATGATGTCCAGTTGATGGAGATATATTCTTCTCCAACACAATACTATAAAACATTTTCACAGGAACACATTCCTACTTATTGATGATTGGGGCATTTAGTAAAACAACCACAAAACAAGCACAACCTTCTGAATAACAGCAAAGCATTAGCCAATGTCAACCCAAGTTCTTAAACACACCTATATTTGGAAATTGTCTTAAGAGGCACATTCCAAAAAATACATGGTCAAAACCTGGTTGAAGATGTTTGCTGTTCCTGTGTTAACAGTAGTGTGTGAACAGCTGGGTGTGTTCCCTGTTGGACTGTGTTATCTCTTAAACTCTTTCCATACCAGTTGAGTGCCTCTTTTCAACATTACTGCGTTACACTGCCTCAGACTGAGCACCCTAGGTAAACTAATAATAGCCAATGTCTGCCCTGGATGACTGGAGTCCTGTGGCTTGAAGAGGTTCCTCTCACAAAGCAACTGGTTGTTGTCTACAACACTTGCTGTGGCCTCTGTAGATCCTCTATAGGATCAATTTAATAAGCTGTGAAGGTGCTGAAACCATCTTGTTTCTGTTTTGATTACAAATGTTCTTTCTTTTCAACCATTTAGCCATTTCTGTGTGCAGCTATTTCTTAACTCCAAATTGAATTAAATGAATACATTCATAAGTGAACACACTATATTCAAAGACTCATTATACACCAAACTCCAAACAGAACAGAAGGAAAGAAATGCAATTATGTCTTTCCCTGTAACACAAAAACAGTTTCCATGATGAGGAAGAAGTCAAGGCAAGATAAGAAACTAGGCCTACACCTACTGCTTCAATGATCAAATTCCCAATTTAAGGTGAGAGCTCACAAACCATCACAAATATGAAAATGATCATGTAGTTGAACCCATGTTCACTAATTAAAGGTACTATAGGTAACAATTCAACAATGAACTGTCTCTTGTTGTCAAATTGACTGGGGCCAGCAAATCTTGTGTTGTCAAATTGTCTGGGGCCAGAAAATCTATTTTCAAATTGACTGGTCCGTTGTTGAATTGACAACAAGAGATTTGCTGGTCCTAGTCAATTTGACAACAAGAGACGGTCTGTCTTTTATTGATCAATAGGAAGCCTGCACCATTAGAATGCAATTTTATGTGAGCCCAATAACATTTTTGGGGAAAATATTGTAAAACACTATCATTTCACTATTACTGTAGATATAGTAAGGATTATTTATTATGATGCAATTATATTACATATAGTTCCTTTAACAAATTATTGAGGATAAATGTACTGTTCATAATTTTCCCTGTGAAGAAGTGCTTCCATCTTGTGGTTCAACCAGTGCCCTGCAGGCTGGTGTTCCTGCCTTCAATCTGTCTAATATGATGTCATGATGTCTCCAACAGTACTGATGAAGTAGATTTATCGTATAATTCAAAGGAATAATGACCAAAATGTCAGGACAAATTATTGACAACTTAGTAGTTCAATTCACATTCACAATGCCCTTGGAGGAAGTCTTTATAAAAGTTGTAATTACATTAATTTTACATGACACACTCACCATGTAAATGCAGTAACATTTTCAGTCTTCTCATTGACACAAAAGCTGTCTACCAACAGCAATTAGGTTGATTTAACAATGAACAAAGCAACAAGTGTCTGTTTTAGGTAATTTTCACAGGTTACTGTAGAAATGTTTTAAAAATTATTCACTGCTCATGTCTCTTGTAGGGCAACAATGTGAGCAAATTAGACATGCAGTATCCTACATAGTGTCATTGAACTCAACTATAGCTTCATAAAAGTGTCCTGTAACAGTTTCATACAGGAAGTATTTCCTTTGAGATGTCCGTGTCTGACAGACATCAATTGAGCAAGAGGTATTTTCCCAGAAGCGTATGGGTCATTTTGATGGCAATATACACAGAGTATACAAAACATAATTATTTCCATGACAGACTGACTAGGTGATTCCAGGTGAAAGCTATGATCCCTTATTGATGTCACTTGTTAAATCCACTTAAATACGTGTAGATGAAGGGGAGGTGACAGGTTAAATTATTTTTAAGCCTTGAGACAATTGAGCCATGGATTGTGTATGTGTGCCATTCAGAGGGTGAATGGGCAAGACAAACAATGTAAGTGCCTTTGAATGGGGTATGGTAGTAGGTGCCAGGCGCACCGGTTTATGCCAAGAACTTCAACACTGCTGGGTTTTTCATGCTCAACAGTTTTCCTTGTGTATCAAGAATGGTCCACCACCAAAAGGACATCCAGCCAACTTGACACAATTGTAGGAAGCATTGGAGTCAACATGGGCCAGCATCCCTGTGGAATGCTTTCGACACCTTGTAGAGTGCATGCCCAGACTAATTGAGGCTTTTCTGAGGGCAAAAGTGGGATGGGGGGGGGGGGGTTGGGTGCAACTCAATATTAGGAAGGTGTTCCTAATGTTTGGTATACTCAGTGTACATTCCTTGCTGCTTTTTTAGATTACATTCCTGCATCACAAGAGCCAGTGTTGAGCCGCAGCGCCCCCTGTCTGTGGAGTGAACTCAGTGTCCTGAACTCCAGTGGCATAGTATGTGGACTGGCATGGGATGTGTACTCGTAGGTCAGAGTGTCATAGTAATGGTACTTGACTGGTATCCCCTGTGAATCCCGAGGGAAAGGCCAGAAGCCGTACAGGTGGATCTCCTCACAGAAGCGGGTGGCCATGGTGTACATCAGCAGACCAGTGGTGGGTCTCTTGATCTGGACGTTGTTAGTCAGCCAATACCTGACGAGGAAGAATGAAGAGGGAGAGTAAACAATCAAAAGGTCTTTCATGGCACCCAAGAGACCTGACATCTGAGAAAGAAATCTCAGATGTCTTAAGAAGAATGTATAAAAGTCTTAAGAATGTTTGTTTTAGGCTAGAGCTATTTCTTTATCAGTCAGTGTTCAAAATGTTCCTTAATATCTGAAAAATTATCTATAGAAACTATGAAACTAGCATACACTTGTAAAGACGCCACAGTCCTATGATGGGTAACACATTGCAATAATACATTAGTGCTAAAGACTATCTGGTAGACTTCATCCCTGATAAAGAGGATGAGTGCATTGAAGCCAATTTCCATTAGAAAGCACTGAACACTCTGCATTCTTAGCTCTACAATGGCAGTCCACTCACCCTTGAATAAGCCCCTACAATAAGCACCCTTCCCTCCCTATGTGGTGGCTTTCACTCAGATTTCTGGGTGGATACATGCTTAGGGGCCAGTGGGCTCGAGTAGAGGAGCTGAATTGTGATAAGACAGAGGGGTCTGGGGCCTGCAGTAACAAAGCAAGCCCCATCTGGTCCTCTCACTCACAGCCTGGTCTACCAGGACTTATAGATACTCTCCTAGCAGTGGACTCTCTGGACTAGCAGGAGGTCAATGGTGGAGCCAAAGGATGATCTATTTAAAGGGCATCTTGTGCTCAGAGAAGCAGAAGCCCGGGGGAAAGTATTCAGTTTGGCATACTGAGCATTTATCAAAAACCACTATAGCTAAAATGTCATAGACATGCACTGCATTTCATTAGCGTTTTCCCTGCATTTCAAAACATGTATTGCCCTTTCAGAGAAGATTCCAGGCTTTTTGCCTAACTATACTACAGAAAATACCAGCCCTGCTGATCCTGGCTAACTGTCCTCCTCCTTCAAATCCAACAGCAGGCTGAGAGACCAGCAGCAGTAAACAGCAGTAAGTTGGTCACCAACGGCCTGTTGAGTAGCTCTAATGCTGTGTTTAAAAATAGCAGGGGACCTGTGAACTGCTACTAGATTAGTGGCTACCAGGCCCTGGATTGAGGAGTTCACAGGTGTACAGACAGAATACATGCTGCAGTGTCACAAAGGGCACATGTGTTCCCTCCTTGTTTTACCCTCTGACAGCATGGAGAAGGCGCAGTGAGGGGAAGGCGGTGTGCACATCCACCGTGTGCAGCAGGATGAGACGGATGGCCCACTCCACCCTCTCCTCTCCTCCCTTGGCCATGAAGGCTGGGATCCACAGTACGCTGCCGCTGAGGCCCCGGAGCCGCTGCAGGAAGCGCTCCCTCCACTGCTCACTGGCTAGGTCATGGAAGGCCCGCTGAACCACCGACGGGTTCATGGTCACCAGATTGGTGCGCCGCCCCACATCCCCAGCATACTCCTCCACTGGCGCCAGGTTACATCTGCAAAGAGACATGCATATAAATTATTATGCTATCACTTAATCCATTTGATTAGTCTGCCAGAAATATTGAGGTCAAACCCCAGAAGTCATAAATTGGCCATATCCTACTGTCCTCCAGAAACTAAACTCTAAACTCCACATACACTCATTTAGGTAGCTTAGACATTGTTCAACATGCATTAGGGACATAATCAGTCATCTAAAAATAACTCCATACCAAACACACCTAGCACAGGGTTGAAAACCTTAATGAATGTATTCCATGTCATGCTGCTGTGTATTGGTATGGTGTCCAAGGAAAGTTACTTGACTGACCTCAGTAAAAGTGATTACTATACAGTACCAATGCACAGAGAGATAATGACCTAAAATGAAATAAAATGTCCTATATCTATGAAAGTAGAATATGAGGCTACTGTGAGGCCAGAGGTGGGTGGAGCTGAGCACTGCTGTGAGTAGCGACATTATCTCCCTACCTGAATACCTCAGCAAATCCCTCATCACTCCCTCCCAGCTAACTGCCCTTGCTAAGCCATGTCTTTCTCTGCCAACTCATCCTGACCTGTCTTGCAATTTCCCTGTTTATCTGACACTCCAGCAGCAAGGGGGTTGGGGATTTACTCTTCAACCATAGATGGGTCGTTCCACGAAATTAGTGCCTTTTGCGTCCATTTGATAATGTATTAATTTTTTTGTACTTTTACCCCTTTTTCTCCCCAATTTTTGTGATATCCAATTGGTAGTTACAGTCTTGTCCTATCGCTGCAACTCCCCTACGGACTCGGGAGAGGCGAAGGTCGAGGGCCATGCGTCCTCCGATACAAAACCCTGCCAAGCCGCACTGCTACTTGACACACTGCTCGCTTAACCCGGAAGCCAGCCGCACCAATGTGTCGGAGGAAACACCGTCCAGCTGGTGACCGAAGTCAGCTTGCACCCAGCCTGACACAAGGAGTCACTAGAGAGCGATGGGACAAGGAAATCCCGGCCGGCCAACCCCTCCCCTAATCCGGATGACGCTGGGCAAATTGTGCGCCGCCTCATGGGTCTCCCAGTCACGACCGGCTGTGAAACAGCCTGGGATCGAACCCGGGTCTGTAGTGTTGCCTCAAGCACTGCGATGCAGTGCCTTAGACCGCTGCGCCACTCAGAAGGTGTTCCTTTGATATTTTAAGTAGAAATTGTGATATATTAATTCAATTAATCTGATTTTTTTTATATATGATTAAAGGCTTGCTAAAGTGCCACAATTCAGCATTTTGACATGTCCCTTCATCAACCCTGTGTCACTCCTAGGAACATTTCCACTCACTTAATACAAAAATGTCTCCAAGTTTCACCATCATTGTAAAGCCCTAGTTATTTTGTTTCTTTGACAAAGTCAGTTCTGAAGAGTATTATTTATTTCATGTGATTTGTGATTCATTTATGTCTGTCCCTCATTTTAAGGTCAACCCTGTTACGTGAACTAAACTCTCGTTTTAATATGGTGAAAGTATTCCTTTTTAAATATTTTATTCAAAAGAAACATTGAACATTTAATAGTCAAATCATAGTGTAAAAGCAAATGAGCTGGTTCTCCTCTTTTCTGACATTTTCTGTTGTTTTGTGGTGAACACATCAACCCTGTTACCCATAGATAGACAGGCTAGAAGTGTTACAGCAAATTCCATTTTTTGTGAAGCTTGTTTTGTGCAACAAGGAGTGGCAATTGAATACAAGCTTCACAAAAAAATGGAATTTGCTGTAACACTTCTAGCCTGTCTATCTATGGTTAACAGGGTTGATGTGTTTTGCTCGACCCGCTTAGTTTTTCACCACAAAACAACAGAAAATGTCAGAAAAGAGGAGAACCAGCTCATTTGCTTTCCATTCCCCGTGTTACATGGGGATTTATGGCTGATTTTAAGATGAAATCGTCAACCCTATTACATTCAAACCTATTACTTTATTTGGATTCTTAATAGGCACTTATTATAGCCTTTTTTTTTTTTTACTTCTTGAGATGGGATAACTTGTTTTTATTAATTGAAGAAGTGCTCTTTATGACAGAATTTTTTTGACCAAGTTACACTTCTCAAAAGATACCGAATTGGTGGAACGACCCAGAGGCATATGGCTCTCAGTGGCGTGTATTCATGGTTGCCAAAAAACATCTAAAATAATGTATCTTTCGTCTCTCTGTGTTTCAAAAATGTTCTTCAATTCGCAAGAGGCTGAATGTACACTACCAGTCAAAAGTTTGGACACACCTACTCATTCAAGGTTTAAAAATAAATAAAAATATTTGTTAAATTGTAGAATAATAGTGAAGACATAAAAACTATGAAATAACACATATGGAATCATGTAGTAACCAAAAAAGTGTTAAACAAATCAAAATATATTTTATATTTGAGATTCTTCAAATAGCCACCCTTTGCCTTGATGACAGCTTTGCACACTCTTGGCATTCTCTCAACTAATGCATTTCAATTAACAGGTGTGCCTTCTTAAAAGTTAATTTGTGGAATTTCTTTCCTTCTTAATGCGTTTGAGCCAATCAGTTGTGTTGTGACAAGGTAGGGGTGGTATACAGAAGATAGCCCTATTTGGTAAAAGACCATATTATTAAGCAAAGAGAAATGTCCATCATTACTTTAAGACATGAAGGTCAGTCAATATGCAGTCGCAAAAACCATCAAGTGCTATGATGAAACTAGCTCTCATGAGGACCGTCACAGGAATGGAAGACCCAGAGTTACCTCTGCTGCAGAGGATAAGTTCATTAGAGTTACCAGCCTCAGAAATTGTAGCCCAAATAAATGCTTCACAGAGTTCAAGTCACAGACACATCTCAACATCAACTGTTCAGAGGAGACTGTGTGACTCAGGCCTTCATGGTCGAATTGCTGCAAAGAAACCACTACTAAAGGACACCAATAATAAGAAGGGACCTGCTTCGGCCAAGAAACACGAGCAATGGACATTAGACCGGTGGAAATGTGTCCTTTGGTCTGGAGTCCAAATTGGAGATTTTTGGTATCAACCGCCGTGTCTTTGTGAGACGCGGTGTGGGTGAACGGATGATCTCCGCATGTGTAGTTCCCACCGTAAAGCATGGAGGAGGAGGTGTTACGGTGTGGGGGTGCTTTGCTGCTGTGATTTATTTAGAATTCAAGGCACACTTAACCAGCATGGCTACCACAGTATTCTGCAGCGATATGCCATCCCATCTGGTTTGGGCTTAGTGGGACTATCGTTTGTTTTTCAACAGGACAATGACCCAACACATCTCCAGGCTGTGTAAGGGCTATTTTACCAAGAAGGAGAGTGATGGAGTGTTGCATCAGATGACCTGGCCTCCACAATCCCCTGACCTCAACCCAATTGAGATGGTTTGGGATGAGTCAGATGGCAGAGTGAAGGAAAAGCAGCCAACAAGTCCTCAGCATATGTGGGAACTCCTTCAAGACTGTTGGAAAAGCATTCCAGGTGAGAGGAGGATGGCATTGGCGTTTCTCTACAAGTAGGGCGAGTCAACATGTTGTTACTGTATTAGACTAAGCATAAGTGATTTGATGATGTTGAAATTATTAAGTTGAAATGGTGCTGGAATAGTGGAGGCAGCTCCTGTTTTCTTTGCGACTTGCGGTAACTCTCCGTGGTTCTAAATCAATAGTTATTAGTGGTCCAAAAATGTTGGAAACATTAACTTGTTGACCATGCTGTAGGTCATGTAACTGTTTGCTACATGCAATATGCTTTGTGGACTTCACCGGACAGAGGTTGCTCTTCGGTTTTGTGATGAAACAAAGGTGTGGTTTAATTTATTATTCTTATTGTCTCGGCCTTAGGCCTACAGTTGAAGTCGGAAGTTTACATCCACCTTAGCCAAATACATTTAAACTCAGTTTTTCACAATTCCTGACATTTAATCCTAGTAAAAAATTCCCTGTCTTAGGTCTGTTAGGATCACCACTTTATTTTAAGAATGTGAAATGTCAGAATAGTAGTAGAGAGAATGATCTATTTCAGCTTTTATTTCATTCATCACATTCCCAGTGGGTCAGAAATGTAAATACACTCAATTAATATTTGGTAGCATTGCCTTTAAATTGTTTAACTTCGGTCAAATGTTTCGGGTAGCCTTCCACAAGCTCCTCACAATAAGTTGGGTGAATTTTGGCCCATTCCCCCTGACAGAGCTGATGTGACTGAGTCAGGTTTGTAGGCCTCCTTGCTCGCACATGCTTTTTTATTTCTGCCCACAAATGTTCTATAGGATTGAGGTCAGGGCTTTGTGATGGCCACTCCAATACCTTGACTTTGTTGTCCTTAAGCCATTTTGCCACAACTTTGGAGTATGCTTGGGGTCATTGTCCATTTGGAAGACCCATTTGCGACCAAGCTTTAACTTCCTGACTGATGCCTTGAGATGTTGCTTCAATACAGTGGGGAAAAAAAGTATTTAATCAGCCACCAATTGTGCAGGTTCTCCCACTTAAAAAGATGAGAGAGGCCTGTAATTTGCATCATAGGTACACGTCAACTATGACAGACAAAATGAGAAAAAAAATCCAGAAAATCACATTGTAGGATTTTTAATGAATTTATTTGCATATTATGGTGGAAAATAAGTATTTGGTCAATAACAAAAGTTTCTCAATACTTTGTTATATACCCTTTGTTGGCAATGACACAGGTCAAACGTTTTCTGTAAGTCTTCACAAGGTTTTCACACACTGTTGCTGGTATTTTGGCCCATTCCTCCATGCAGATCTCCTCTAGAGCAGTGATGTTTTGGGGCTGTCGCTGGGCAACACAGACTTTCAACTCCCTCCAAAGATTTTCTATGGGGTTGAGATCTGGAGACTGGCTAGGCCACTCCAGAACCTTGAAATGCTTCTTACGAAGCCACTCCTTCGTTGCCCGGGCGGTGTGTTTGGGATCATTGTCATGCTGAAAGACCCAGCCACGTTTCATCTTCAATGCCCTTGCTGATGGAAGGAGGTTTTCACTCAAAATCTCACGATACATGGCCCCATTCATTCTTTCCTTTACACGGATCAGTCGTCCTGGTCCCTTTGCAGAAAAACAGCCCCAAAGCATGATGTTTCCACCCCCATGCTTCACAGTAGGTATGGTGTTCTTTGGATGCAACTCAGCATTCTTTGTCCTCCAAACACGACGAGTTGAGTTTTTACCAAAAAGTTCTATTTTGGTTTCATCTGACCATATGACATTCTCCCAATCCTCTTCTGGATCATCCAAATGCACTCTAGCAAACTTCAGACGGGCCTGGACATGTACTGGCTTAAGCAGGGGGACACGTCTGGCACTGCAGGATTTGAGTCCCTGGCGGCGTAGTGTGTTACTGATGGTAGGCTTTGTTACTTTGGTCCCAGCTCTCTGCAGGTCATTCACTAGGTCCCCCCGTGTGGTTCTGGGATTTTTGCTCACCGTTCTTGTGATCATTTTGACCCCACGGGGTGAGATCTTGCGTGGAGCCCCAGATCGAGGGAGATTATCAGTGGTCTTGTATGTCTTCCATTTCCTAATAATTGCTCCCACAGTTGATTTCTTCAAACCAAGCTGCTTACCTATTGCAGATTCAGTCTTCCCAGCCTGGTGCAGGTCTACAATTTTGTTTCTGGTGTCCTTTGACAGCTCTTTGGTCTTGGCCATAGTGGAGTTTGGAGTGTGACTGTTTGAGGTTGTGGACAGGTGTCTTTTATACTGATAACAAGTTCAAACAGGTGCCATTAATACAGGTAACGAGTGGAGGACAGAGGAGCCTCTTAAAGAAGAAGTTACAGGTCTGTGAGAGCCAGAAATCTTGCTTGTTTGTAGGTGACCAAATACTTATTTTCCACCATAATTTGCAAATAAATTCATTAAAAATCCTACAATGTGATTTTCTGGATTTTTTTCCTCATTTTGTCTGTCATAGTTGACGTGTACCTATGATGAAAATTACAGGCCTCTCTCATCTTTTTAAGTGGGAGAACTTGCACAATTGGTGGCTGACTAAATACTTTTTTCCCCCACTGTATATCCACATAATTTTCCTTCCTCATGATGCCATCTATTTTGTGAAGTGCACCAGTCCCTCCTGCAGCAAAGCACCCCCACAGCATGATGATGCCACCCCCGTGCTTCATGGTTGGGATGGTGTTCTTCAGCTTGCAAGCCCCCCTCCCCCCTTTTCCTCCAAACATAACGATGGCCATTATGGACAGTTCTATTTTTGTTTCATCAGACCAGAGGACATTTCTCCAAAAAGTACAATCTTTGTCCCCATGTGCAGTTGCAAACCGTAGTCTGGCTTTTTTATGGCGGTTTTGGAGCAGTGGCTTCTTCCTTGCTCAGCGGCCTTTCAGGTTATGTCGATATAGGACTTGTTTTACTGTGGATATAGATACCTTTGTACCTGTTTCCTCCAGCATCTTCACAAGGTCCTTTGCTGTTGTTCTGGGAATTATTTGCACTTTTCGCACCAAAGTACGTTAATCTCTAGGAGACAGAACGCGTCTCCTTCCTGAGCGGTATGATGGCTGCGTGGTCCCATGGTGTTTATATTTGCGTACTATTGTTTGTACAGATGAATGTGGTACCTTCAGGCGTTTGGAAATTGCTCCCAAGGATGAAACAGACTTGTGGAGGTCTACAATTCTTTTTCTGAGGTCTTGGCTGATTTCTTTTGATTTTCCCATGATGTCAAGCAAAGAGGCACTGAGTTTGAAGGTAGGCCTTGAAACACATCCAAAAGGTACACCTCCAATTGCCTCAAATGATGTCAATTAGCCTATCAGAAGCTTCTAAAGCCATGACATCATTTTCTGGAATTGTCCAAGCTGTCGTAGCCGGCCGCGACCAGGAGACCCATGGGGCGGCGCACAATTGGTCCAGCGTCGTCCAGGGTAGGGGAGGGAATGGCTGGCTGGGATGTAGCTCAGTTGGTAGAGCATGGCGTTTGCAACGCCAGGGTTGTGGGTTCGATTCCCACGGGGGGCCAGTATGAAAAATAAAAATAATGTATGCACTCACTAACTGTAAGTCGCTCTGGATAAGAGCATCTGCTAAATGACTAAAAATGTAAAAAATATGTAAATGTTTAAAGGCACAGTCAACTTAGTGTATGTAAACTTCTGACCCACTGGAATTGTGATACAGTGAATTATAGGTGAAATAATCTGTCTGTAAACAATTGTTGGAAAAATTACTTGTGTCATGCACAAAGTAGATGTCCTAACCGACTTGCCAAAACTATAGTTTGCTAACAAAAAATGTGTGGAGTGGTTGAAAAATGAGTTTTAACGACTCCAACCTAAGTGTATGTAAACTTCCAACTTCAACTGTATATATCATGGTGGCAAGGCATATGAACTAACAGGTTATAGAGCAAACAACGCAATTATCACGTCACATAGGTTGTAATATGGCTTTTTTTCTGACTTGGCTTCTCCAGTGATTTTACCGACACATCTCTACTGATGGTTCTGCATATCCAGAGGATGGTAGATCAATGACACAAAGGCCCTGTAATAACAGCAGCGGCAGCAGCTGAAGTTACACAAGGAGGATGGGGAAAAATCCCATCCCAATGTGATTAGTCCCAATTATTGTACAGAGATATGCTATGATTCCCCATCCAAACAATCCATGTACTATTGATATGGTTTCACATATTTCCCAATTCCCATTAGTTAGTTCAGATACCTTTCTCTTCATCATAATCACAATGCCTTGCTGTACTGGGGACACAGTAAGGCAAACTGGATTTCTTCCCCCTGTAACATTGCAATGCATATCTGTACTTTGTTGTTACTGACAGACAAACCGGTGAGTAGCAATAAATAACCCACTCACAGAAAGTTGTTTGCTGACACACTAGCACAGAGCAGCATTGACGGATGGTTTCAGACAGACATTCTCCCCTGGTAAATGAGTGTAGCAGTCCTAGGAATTAATGGCAGTGCTTCTCTAAAGCACCTCATTACATTTTGGGTAGATAGCAGTAGCTTTTTAAAATGTCACATTTACCCAGCAGATATTTAATTGCTGTAAGTATTGCTGCTCATTTCTAAAAGCCTGCAAATCATCAAACAAACTTGAAGGTAAAAAAAGTAGCAGGTATTTCAAAGGTGTGGACAATGTGTGTTCTAGCACAGTGTTCAATCCAAGGGACTGTACTTACATAAATGTTAGATGAGTATAAAGATGAATAGTGCTTTATAGAGAGTGCCTCATTGCTATCCTGAATATTTCCCTGCAAATGCAGCGATAAATTAACTAATATTTCCCATTTATACAAGAAGATTGCTTGATTAAATGGAGATGCCTTAACGCACTACTGAAAATCACCTGTATCAATTCAATTTATGGAATAGCTGTTATGGGAACCTCACCTGATAACAAAGTCATGGGAGTCTATCTCTGGCCCACAGCTGCTGTTGAGTAGGATCCCAGAGTTCCCTACGATGGCACAGCGTCTGTGGTGCTGGTTCTTCATGGGGGACGCAGTGGGTAGCAACCGGTACAGGTTCTCTGAGATGTTGGTAGTGCTCTGACGGTCAAAGATGTAGTGGATGACATCTCCAGGTTTCAATGTGCCTTTCAGAATAGAGATGTCCCTCTCTGGGTCAAAGAACCTCAGGATGTTCTTCCTATAGAAGGAAGAAAGTCATCCATGAAGGAATACCCAGTTTATGGGAGTGTGAGACCTAATGGAGACCAATACAGAAGAGGATTGTAGGCCTACCTGATGAGGCTGGAGAGGGTTCTGTTGAAGGTCCAGTTATCTGAAGAGAGCCTGGTGGTATTATTCAAACCTGAAGGAGAAGCAGGGCTCTTGTCCTCCCCTTCACTGATTAAAGGTGTAGGATTGGCTTTCACTGCTACATTTCTACAACAGGACAGCAAGGCATCCATTAGAAATTAAAGGCAACATGACTTTGATACATGTGATATGAGAACTCCTATCATCACTTGAAAAAGCAGTGTGAACGAACAACCATGTACTGTGTGTAAAGCCATCCAATGTGTAATGAAAGCCATATAGTCAATTTCATGCTTTTGTTAATTAGATACTTATTTTCAAACCCCAGGGAAGTTCTATGTTTCTATCACTTGTACATCAATTGTGTGATTTATCAATTATTTTAATTAGATACACACAATTCTGTAATCCATGCAGCTTTCCCAAATCCCATAGGTCTTACATGTTTCTATGGAAACAAGCAAATTCATGTTTTTTATTAGGTTTCTTTCTCTTGCTTTAGGGCAAAACCCAAACAGAGGGTAATGAAACTGCTGATATGTTCATGTGTATTAAGTCTGTTAATTATTTTACATGTCTGCAAGCATATGAGCTCAGAAGGGGAAGCAAATAAAAGGCTAGAATAACAGAATTGATGAGTATTATAAAACCAGAAGGCAATGGAAGAAGGAGCAGATCAGCCTGACAAACCTGTTGGGCTTGGGGATGAGGCTGTGCAAGTACAATGTTCTGGAACCTCCAATATTCCTAGACCAAGAAAAAAGTTATTATAGCCACCATCAGAATAATTCATAATATTATTGTCAGATGAATGGAATCGTGCAGAACATGAAGTGTGAGGGGCAAGAGGTGGTTTAATCAAATTCCAGGCATCACATATAACTCAGGCTGTCAGAATATGGTATCCATGACTATGCTCTTAATGTGTATCCAGATGAGCAGTAGGCTCATCACATTGACGTGAACGTGAAGGAGAAGAGCATGCATCAAAACGCAGTCAGACCGTGAAACAGAACAGCTATTACGTTGGTGTAACACTGAAACATGTGTGCTGAAGGCCATTCATGTCGTTAAAGAAGCATGTGAGCAAAACGTGTCATATGATCCCTGGTAGAGCTGGGTACCTCAATGTCTCAGGTGTCTTATGAATATACCTGAGGGGAAAAACAGGACATGCCAACTGATCTACCAATCTGACTGTTACCGGTGCTTGTGAGTTTGGATAAAGAGGTGTAGTTGGTCAACATTGCTTAAACATCCTCTATAAATATTGTATAGATCAACCTGAATTGTATATCATCGGTACACTATGAGTAGCATGGACTACTGCTCAAGATAAACTACATAATTATTGCCTTTTATGACCGCAACATAAATTTATTAAAGAAAATTCTATTAAGTTGGCTAACATATCTGCTTCAAAGTCCCAACTCTCACGGGGTGTGTAAAACTATAAAGCACCAGCAATTAAATTAGAGCAAGCACACAGTACCATAATACTACGGCTCAATTATGTCCAAAAGGAGGTTGCAAATGGAGTGTGTCTCAATTAAGTATGTACAATTGCATCTTGTGTTAGTTATTACAGAGGCAAGGAGAATCACTAATATGCCAGGCAGCGGACAAGGAGCCAGGAGCATTCAGTCTGCTCAAATGAAGGTGACAGGCCTAGCTGTGCTATCTGGGGAGCAACACAACTATTCTATTGTTCTTGGAGTGGAGAGATGTACCAATATAGGCAAGCTCCTTCATGAAACAAACTCATTCATAGGTTATTACTATGTAATTACCTTATACACATGATTATTATTGTGTAATTACCACCATCAATTTGTAATAAATACCTGGTCATCTCTCTACCGTAAAATAAAGTGCTACAGTACCAACTGTACCAGCTACTTAACATTTACAGCCACAAGAAGCTCGAGTCTTGTGCAATCAGAAGGCAGAACTGTATCTTCCAAGCTTCAAGAGTTGTATTTGTGTAAGATAGAGGATTTCTGATGCAGGGCTCAGTTATGTCTGGAGAAAGGCAAACTGTTTATTTAGTCTCCAGTCTGTTGCTCTCTCAGTAACAAATCAAACAGTAATCTCCTATCCACACATCCACCCACCAAACAGCCCTCTATACCATAACATGACTGGAGCTGGAGTGCAAACAGGATACACTGAAGTGTTGAACAAAACCACCAAGCGCATGCCATTTGTCAAGAAGCCCTGTGGTGCCTCAACTCAGCCTGATGATGCAATTGATTCAAGGTTTGATGTGGAAAGCAAAATGGGCTTCCAATTATTGGACTGGTTCCTTTTGATACAATGGCCTGGTCTATTGTGTTAGTACCTCTTCTAAAATAGTGACTATACACACTGTTTTTATTATGAAAATGCAATAGAATTAGAGCAAAATCCAGTTGACACAGCTGTTAGACAGTACATGTCACGCCCTGGCTCTGGGGACTCTTAAATGTTGAGCCAGGGTGTGTAGTTTCTATGTTGTGTTTTCTATGTTTAGTTTCTAGATCGTTTAGATCTATGTTGGCCAGGGTGGTTCCCAATCAGAGGCAGCTGTAGCTCGTTGTCTCTGATTGGGGACAATACTTAGGTAGCCTGTTGGCACTAGTGGGTTGTGGGATCTTGTTCCGTGTAAGGTATGTTGTTTGTGTGCTACCTTGGACTTCACGTTTCGTTTGTTGTTTTGGTTGTGTGTTTATTCGTTAAATAAACATGTTGGCATATCACGCTGCGCCTTGGTCCTTCTCGTTCGTAAACGATCGTGACAGTACAGTATTCTTCTCTGAAGAGAGTTAACAGTGTAGAGTTACACTTGAAACTATCTGATTACCAGTCCATTCTCTCCATTCTAGGTAGCCTACTTTTGATTACATTTTACATTTTAGTCATTTAGCAGACACTCTTATCCAGAGCGACTTACAGTTAGTGAGTGCATACATTTTTCATACATATTTTTTGATCCCGTGTGTTAGGACTACCCTAGTTTTGTAGGAATTATTCCATCCATGCACCCCATAAGTAAAGTGCCAAGATTACACACGCACGCACGCACGCACACACACACACACACACACACACACACACACACACACACACACACACACACACACACACCTAGGATCTACTATATAATGCATGGAGGCTACACTGCAGACAAATTGGTCTTTGTAGATCCAGGTATAGAGCGTCTGTTGAACATATGTCGTCAATTGCATTAGGCTATTATACTGAGATATCACAAACAAAGGGAAAGCTAAAGTGAAAGGTTCGATTAAAAATGCAAGACTAGATGTACAGTAAAGAAATAGGAGTAGAACGTATCAATACATGCACAGGGGTTTGTAACATTGAAATAGACACAAATTAAGAGTTTATTTCCAAAACGCTATATCCCCCAATTCTTCACATTTGTGTTTTTTTAACAGAAATGATTGCTCGTGTGTGTAAAATATTACTGTTCTCAGATGTTTTATTCATAGATTTTAAATGTGTATAATTGTATTTTTTGTTGTTGCAAAACGCTATATATCCATTGTTTAGCTGAAATTGAATGTTTGTATCCTGAATATTTGACTGTGATACTTTATGTGGTTGTCTCACCTAGCTATTTTAAGATGAATCCACTTACTGTAAGGCGTTCTGGATAAGAGCATCTGCTAAATGACAAAAATTTCAAATGTAAATGTTTTACATACAGATCTCATATTACTGTATTATTATAAAAAATAATAAAAGTATTGATGTCACAAATGTAGCCTATCATTTGGTACATTTATTTGTTTAAATGTAGTTATTTGTTACATTTGACTGTGTAAAACCTAGCAGTACTACTTATTTATTTGAGAGTTAGGCTGATATATAGCATTTTGCAAAAAAAAACATGATAATCTGAAATGAAACCATCAAGCAATAGATTTTAAACAAATACATGTCTGTCATTGAACAACCCCATACCATGATTAGACAGTGAAAAAACACACATTAATCTCTTTCATAATATCTTTAAACAATAAAAGCTAATTTACCAACGTTTCAGAAAATGTATAGCGTGTTTGGAATGAAACTCTGCAAATGTATCCCAACTGCCTGCAGCCTACTGGAGAAATGTTAATGTTAGAGGAGCACTCAATGTCTTCTAAAGTTCTACTGAATGAGTGAAGATAACGCAGAATCTAACATAATTTGAACATGAACATAAGATTAAATTCCTTTGAATAATGCATTTTCAGATCTAGATAACACGTGTATTGTGCAACAGAATTCATGAACAAAACGAATCAGAAAGCACCGCTATACTTACGCAATTTCTTCCTCGATTTCAGCAATATCAGCAATGATCAGAAATATGACCAGCAGTGTTACAATTCCAAACATCACCGTTCGGAATTCTAACTGCATGACTGAGAAGGCTGCAGAACTAATCCAAGCGACGCTCAAAAATCTAAATCGATTGAATACATTATCCTTTTAATCTCTGAAATTTATAGATTTTACTCAATTAAACTAAATTACGTCAACCAATATTCTTCAACGTTAATCTTGAACGAAGACCATTTGTCTCGGAACAAATCCCAGGTTGATATATTTTTATAACGTCTTTTTTTCTCTCCCTTTTTCGCAACCGCAGCAGCACTGCTTTCATTCTCACCTCAATTCCCCAGTCAAACTTTGAAAGCTTGTGGTTGAAACTACATTGCGATTGAGATACGAACAATATGGAAAAGACCATAAACCTTAAAGGTACAGGCACTTTATGGCTTTCTACGGTAGGGTAGCCTAAGGCTGCTCTTGGAGGCTTTAGGCTGCTATTGGCTACTATCTATTACCTTTGTCTGATCATCATTGAATTGGGACTCAATATTGTTGCAGGACTTTGATAACCAGGATCAAGGGACCACCTGGCATTAATAGACTAACATATGTCATCAAATTAATATTCACCTTCTATATTCAACCATTCATCATGTGAATAGCATTATAATAGACACATAATAATATAATATGTCATTACTGCCTTTGTGAGCTCAGGTTTGTTGAGATAATGTAAAAAATAATAATCTCATTTTGTATCATAAAGAGGTTTATTAGGTAGCCTTCTGGTGTCATCATATCATAAATTGTCCTTTGAATAGCTTGCTGTCCTGTCTGAGTCTTATTACTGGCCTCGCTCCAATATGATCAATGCAAAACCTTTCAGCTTTCAACTGCATGGTTGTCTTGTCTTATTTATAGTCATGTTGAGTCGGTAAAAATTGTCAGGCAGATGGATGGGTGAGGGATTGAAGACCTAAGAGAGGAATTAAATAGAGCAGGTTCTCAGATCATAAACATTTGCATATACATTTTGCCACTTTACTGGCTCAGCGTACTGGTACTCTGTATTTTATTTATTTCATAAACCAATGGTGCTCTTTCAGCACAGCATTCCAATAAATCTGTAAAGTGACATTGGAAATGGAATGCTCCATAAAACCTTTTAAGGATTTTGTTGCATGGAGTGATATGGGTTGTATGGGCAGTGGTACTGAGGTAAATGCATATGATTTTCTACAACTGTGAGTCAGCACATACACATCCTGCAAAGTATTTCTAAAAGACTGACAAAAAGTGTCTCCAAATTATTCAAAACTTTCAGCATTCTGATATTAGCAGACAGCCTGTCAATACTGCACCACGTCCGTTTCTCTGTCTGGTTTTGCTTCAAGTCCACCACTTTGAACACAAACAATATAAGATATTCAGCTGTTGTCTGTTATGCAGTGGGAATAACAACACTGACCTTGATTTAAAGTCAGTTATAAAATATATTATTTTTCATCCTGTCATAAGAATAAGGACAAAAAAATCAATTGACATGTAAAATGCACAATCACTCAAGCCGAGCCTGGTTGATTCTTCAACAGCACCTACTTGGCAGACTCCCAAACAACACTTTTAGAGTGATCAGTTTGTATGCATCAAAGTCAAGAGCAGGTATTGGGTAGCAATCAGGGTTGTTGGGGGGAGTAACTGTTGGGGAGTAATTGTTTGCGGAGTTATTCTAAGCAAGAAAGTAATCTCAAGTTGTCACGATCGTCGTAATAAGTGGACCAAGGCGCAGCGTGATATGCGTACATCTTTTAATTAGTACTTTACCACTATGAACAAAACAACAAAACGAAACGTGAAGTCCTCGGTCATAAAACACAAACCTACACGGAACAAGATCCCACAAATGACAAGTGCACAACAGGCTGCCTAAGTATGGTTCCCAATCAGAGACAACAAGACACAGCTGCCTCCGATTGGGAACCACCCCGGCCAACACAGAAACACACGATCTAGAAAAGAACACATAGAAAACAAAACATAGACACTACACATATAAACTAACACCCTGGCTCAACATATAAGAGTCCCCAGAGCCAGGGCGTGACACAAGTTTGTTGTATAAATTCAAAGTTCTGTTGTAGGATAGTGGCTTGTTAATGGGAACTCTATACAAATGATCTCATCAGCTCAGAGCAGTGCATGGTGGAGTAGCAGCTGTTTAATGTGGAGGGAATTTCATGATTAATTAGCCTCATTCAGGAAAATGAAATTGAGTCAAAAGATTGAAATAGAAATGAAACGCAATCAGAGGAACTTTCATGGCTGACCCAGAGAACAGCCACTTTATTTCATTGTCTCATCGTCCTAGCTGTTGACAATTAAAATGGTCAAGGGGATACACCAGTAAGCATTTTACGTGTCAGTTGTACCTGTGTGACATAACCCTGGCTACAGCCAAGGGCTGCTGTAGGGATTAAAGTTGTGGATTAGCAGTGTCCTCATTAAAAGACTTGCTGTCTCTTTTAATGTGTGCAAACATTAAAATATATTTGGAATCACATGCTTCGGGATTTAAAACGGAGCAAACAAGGCTTTCCAGATGAGATTAACTTGATATGTGTTTTTGAGCTTGGTGACAAAATATTGCAGGCATTCTTCTTATTCTTCTTATTCTCTATGCATGTTGTGGTAACTTAAACTAGCTAAAGAGATAATTTAAGGCATTGTAGGTAAGGACAGGTCAATTTGTTGCCTACCAGTAGACCATGTACCAGCTCAACATGCTTGAACTCCATGTTTGAATCATGTTTAGACCCTGTTTGAATCCCAAAACACTCATAGACTAAAGAACTGCTTGAGGAGGCTGAACTTAATTAATGAGATTCATGGATCTGTTTTCCAAGAGAGGAGAGAAATGCCAGTACCACAGAGCATCAAGTGAATATCCAGCACTGTGGTCGACTGCAATTTCACATTTTCTCTGCTCAGTCTCCATTGTCTTTCACGCATGTCCATCCAATTGTACTCCAGGGAGCAATAGGCATTCATTTCTTCAACTGTAGCTCATAGACCACATCTGATTTCATGAGGCACTCGTCCCATGGCTCTAAAGCAGACTTGGATTCAAGAACCAGCAATAACAGATGCAGTACATCGCCCAAACCACATACTGTAGCCAAAAACAGAGTGATGAGTCTTTCTTTACATCGCAACAAAGCCAGTTTACAGAATTTTGTGGGCCATATCTCAACTATGCAAACCTCTCTGAAATCAGTCTCTGACCTCTACAGTAACCCAATTAACATCAACCTCTCTTTCTCCTTTCTATGTCACCCAGTCAAGCTCCATTGGGCCAAAATATAAACATTATTTTGAATATGAACGCCTGAATTTAAGTGTGATGCTAAAAATGGTAGTTTATCCTTATTTTTTGTTTGCACTTTGCAGTTTGAAACGGTCATGTTTTGTGATGCTGTGTTTGATTCACAAGGGGAAGCATTCATTCGCTTGATAGCACCGGATGGGATAAACAAGCCTGGAGACAGGAGGCTTGTCATGCATGGGTTTTACTTTCAAAATACGTTTTGTTTGAAGAATGATAAGTGCGTTTGTGGGGCTTTGGTGTGTTTAACATCCCGAGTGTGATACATGTCGAGGAGTGTGTTCGTAATTGAGATGCCTATGATGCTGGAATCAATATCATTGGTATTCATGAGCCTCTCTCCTTTATTGAAGGGTCTCACTGGGGTGTCTGACAAAATGGTGGCTAAAACCCACAGTGGAGAAATCAACAATCTATATCAACAATTGGTTGGAATTACCAAAACATTTGACATGTTTACAGCAGCAATCAGTTGCTTTTAGCAGTGAACTCCAAGTTGAGAATATGATGATTGTTGTCCAAGGTAATGCACTGTGAGTGCACTCCTATAGCTCTTGACATTTGTAGCTCTTACAAATTATAATTACAATGAGATCTTTGATTACGAAAACACTTATCATAGCAGAAAATACTTAGTCAACAAAATCAAGGGGTTAATTAATGTAATTATCAGATACAATTGGGTGGTTTAAGATGTATTGTGTATGTGTAAAAAATACTAAAAACCAAGATAAACGTTAGTGTTTGAAGAATATCCTGAAGATGAAATAGAATAGGCATTTACATTTAAAAAAAGTTGTTTTTGGGGGGGGTGATTTGCAATCATAAAAGGCCTGGAACTACTTCAATAGGCTAGACTTGAGGGATATACTTCTGCTACATTACAGAGGCAGTAGTTTGATTTATATAAAAAAATGAAATATAGCATATACTTTCACAAACTAGAGGCGCAGGTCTTTGGAGAAATTAGCTTCTACGATGAATCCCCAAATGAATTATGTGCAGTGTGATACAATAGCCTAGCAGCTGATGGATCACCACACACACACACACACACACACACACACACACACACACACACACACACACGCACACACACACACACACACACTGTTAAAATATTTTTTCTCAGAGACCATATTACTCTACAGTGTTGGATGTCCACGGTGTTGGATGTCCATTGTAATCCTCGATTGCATGCAGTTGTTTACTGTGGTACAAGGCCAATGGTTTACACCTGAGGGAAAAAGCAAGATATCTGTCAGCAGGACAAAAGAGCTATTCCTTCCTGTCGATTCTTACAGGAAAACACTTTATCTTAAACCAAAGCAAATGTGTATGTGTGTAGAACCAATGACTGAATCCAATGCTTTACAGATCCAGTGGTAACAGTGTTGTGTTCAATACTTATCTGTGTATTGTAGTCTGACCGTAACCCTAATTTCCTATGGGTCTGGTCTTGTTTGTCGTTGATAGGGATGACAGGAATTGATGATAGTGACAGTTTGTGCTATAAAAATAAATAGAGTCGCTCGCTCTATAAAGTGCATTCGGAAAGTATTCAGACCCCTTGACTTTTTCCACATTTTGTTTCGTTACAACCTTATTTTAAAATGGATTAAATTATTGTCAATCTACACACAATACCCCATAATGACAAAGCAAAAACAGGTTTCTAGACATTTTTGCAAATGTATAAAAATAAAAATAAACAGAAATATCACATTTACATAAGTATTCAGACCCTTTACTCAGTACTTTGTTATAATAATAATAATAATAATATGCCATTTAGCAGACGCTTTTATCCAAAGCGACTTACAGTCATTCGTTCATACATTTTTGTGTATGGGTGGTCCCGGGGATCGAACCCACTACCTTGGCGTTACAAGCGCCGTGCTCTACCAGCTGAGCTACAGCTACATTTGGCAGCGATTACAGCCTCAAGTCTTCTTGGGTATGACGCTACAAGCTTGCCACACCTGTATTTGGGGAGTTTCTACCATTCTTCTCTGCAGATCCTCTCAAGTTCTGTCAGGTTGAATGGAGATCATTGCTGCACAGCTATTTTCAGGTCTCTCCAGAGATGTTCGATCGGGTTCAAGTCCAGGCTCTGCCCGGGCAACTCAAGGACATTCAGAGACTTGTCCCGAAGCCACTCCTGCGTTGTCTTGGCTGTGTGCTTAGGGTCGTTGTCCTGTTGGAAGGTAAACCTTCGCCCAAGTCTGAGGTCCTGAGCGCTCTGGAGCAGGTTTTCATCAAGGATCTCTCTCTACTTTGCTCCGTTTATCTTTCCCTTGATCCTGACTAGTCTCCCAGTCCCTGCCGCATGATGCTGCCACCACCCTGCTTCACAGTAGGGATGGTGACAGGTTTCCTAAAGACGTGACGCTTGGCATTCAGAACAGAGACTTCAATCTTGGTTTCATCAGACCAGAGAATCTTGTTTCTCATGGTCTGAGAGTCCTTTAGGTGCCTTTTGGCAAACTCCAATGGAGTGAATGGAATGGTATTAAACTAATGGAAAACATGTTTGGTGAGTTCGACACCATTCCATTCATAGCGTTCCAGCCATTACTATGAGCCCGTCCTCCTCAATTAAGGTGCCACCAACCTCCTGTGATCTAGACTCTAAAAGGGTTCTTCGGCTGTCCCCATAGGATAACTCTTTGAAGAAACCTTTTTGGTTCCAGGTAGAAGCATTTTGGGTTTAACATAGAACCCTTTCCATAGAGGGTTCTACCTGAAACCAAAAATAGTTCCTATGGGAACAGCCAAAGAACCCTTTTGGAACTCTTTTCTAAGAGTGTAGAGTAGAGTGATGATTAGCTCTAGGGCGCCTGCCTTGCACTCTCTTCCCCTCCACCAGTGTTAACTCTGTTCATCTGTCATGGCTCAAAAGAGAATCTAAGCCATATCAATAAGAACTCTAATCTACTTAACAAGCAGACCAGATGAAAGCACTGTGCAGTTGTCCGTTCACATTTTCAAAAGACACTCAGCATAGATCAAGTACAAAGTACCAACACGTCATGCATATGCTCTCGGAAGCTATTTAAATATATTCTGACTGAAACCGCAATCAATCACTACACCTATATTTCTTAATCATTTTAGGACCTGGACATCAGTATAAAGAGGAGGACTGATTGAGTGCTTTAGACACATTAAATCTACAGATCATTCATTTCTCTGCCTACACGTACAGTGCATACGTTAGTACATACCTTTTCTCTGTAAATAAATAAAGTGAAAATGACACCATGTCTGGTTTATTTTCTGAAAAATATTTTTAATTCCAGAGTAAAATAAATGATATCTTGCCATACAAAAAAGTGTAAGAAAAGGGACAATGCCAAAACTTTAACTGTAGAGAAACTGGAAAATAAGAAGTTGTGCCATCAAGCCTTGAGGGTCTTCAAATAAATATGTCAAGGGATAACAAAATAAGATTATCACCCATTGCATGTAAATTACTCCAAGTACCTTTTGCTAGACTTCACATGCAGATTCTGCATGCCCTAAAGCAACAAGCAGTGCTACTCTGCCCTAGGAAAAGCACTGGTTTAGTTTTCTCTGCTCTTATTCATTGTTTGTTTCTTATTCCTTTCTTGTTATGACATTGGCTCCCATCTGATATGTGATGCAACTAAACATTTTTTAATAATTAAATCTCAAATGATTATATTATCATCTCAGTTTAGTTAACTCTAATAAAACATTCTGAACCTCACAAGTACAAATATATAAACTCTAATATGCATTGTTTAGCTTGAAGAGATACGGTATGTCATTATAACGCACACAGAAAGACTTGTTGATTTCTTATCTGGTAATCCCTCATATTAAGAAATATTAGGGTTTAATAAACTAAGCAAATAAAAAGTTAAGAAATGTTTACAACATGAAGACCCTTCAGAAATGAGTCTGCAAAAAGACAGACATACAGTATCTCTTTCACAATGATAGAAATGGATATGAATAATATAAGATAACTCATAGAAAGACTAACTGTATTCTATGTTCATATTCGAAAACAGTGTTTCTGTTCCAGCAAGAGCACTGTTTTTGTACAGTGTATGCTGACATTAACACCATTTCAGCTACTACCACTGAACTGCAATCTGACACTGAAAGCATACAGTAACTTTAGACTATCATCCTATATAAGCGTTCTACTTCCTCTACTATATAGAGTACATGAGAAAGCACTCTGTTCGTTTCATCAAAATAAAACGTAAATTACGCAACACCGAATGACACAACATCTCTTGATTTGTATATTCTTGGCAACGTGAAGAAACGTCCTATCATTTACACATATATATTGGTTCCCTGATGGAACGAGATGTAACACATAGTAATACTGACCGAACAGGACATGTCATTTTCACTGACTGGATCCATGTTATACTCGAGCAAGTATGGCGCCCATAACAGTAGCATAATACTGACCATCTAATCACCTAGGAGCAGGACAGAGCCAGACAGTAGTTCTCTTCTACTAACAATCACAACAGAGTTCACTGGCACTGGACGACATCCTCGCTGATAACACCTCTACAAACAAAATGGCCTCTATCAAAAGTTACCAATTTGGAGAAGAGAGCAGCAACAGTCTTCCAGGGCCTGGATAGGACTTCAGATAAAAAACTTTCTATCATTTAATAAAGAAAGAAAGACGATAATCCTTCAAGAGAATTATGAATGTAGCAGATAGTCCTGTTGATGGTTCAGAAACTATAAAACCGACTCCATATTTTCGCACCACTCATGGTCCTCTAGGTTGTATATAAACTTTGTCCTGTTTGGGTTCTGACTCCCATCCTTCATGTTGTCCATTGTGAGACTGGAGGGGAACAGTTCGGTTGGTGTCGTATAGCCCTCATGATTTTTGATGTATTTCTTATAGTTCTTGCGTAAACAGTACCAGGTGGTGGTGTACAGAATGAAGGCGGTGACCTTAAGACCGATGGCCAGGCTCACGTACAGATGTCTGTAGGCGATATTGTCGTACAGCAGGCAGGCTCCCTTATCCCCACACTCTGTACTCCAGAAAAGGCATGTTGAGTCAATCCCAGCACCAAAGATCAGAGGAGGGGGGATGAATCCTACAAAACAAGTGAGGAGAGGATTAGAGCAGCAGCACAAGCTTTTCATCTCTACAGCTGGAGAAATCAATACTGTATCCTTGACATCACACCAGTATTGGTTAACAAACTGTAGCATCTGAAACCTCAGTATGTTTGATTTATAAACAAAATAATGTAATAGTGCAACCTGACTAGTTCAGATGCAAGTATAACGGTACTGTAACTTACCAAGTAGTCGCAGCAAGAGAAACAAAACTCCAAGAGCATATGATTTCAGCTCAGGGCTCACAGTCCTAGGAAGAGAAGAGACAACAGTATTTGTTAGACACAGGAAAGAGAGAGCTGTCTCTGAGTAATGTAAACCCTCTCTACATTTTGACTGGGTTCTACTGGGCAAGTTTTAGCATGGTGGTAAGGTGAGTGCAAGTTGTGTTACCTGATGAGGATGATGACGGAGGGTGTTTGAGCCATAGAGCCGATCATGCAGCAGGCACAGATGACACAGAGGAAGGTGAGGAAGGCCTCCTGGCAGCCTGGACTGGGACACTTCCCTGGGACAGCTGTGGCCATCTCGCTGTCACTGGATATACACGTACACCCTGTCAGATTCTGAAGACAGGGGAATAGGTGCATGTGACAATAAGCAAGATTAAAACAGAGACAACAAAACAGTCTCCCATCTCTCTATCTGTAGGTTGTTGGGGAAATGTGGATTCACCAATGGTGGTGGCTCTGTTTGTGCAGTGTTAATAAAAGCCCAGAGATTTTATCTGTATAAAGGTACTGCACATGATAACACAAAAAAAATACCTATAATTCATAAAAGTGAGACGGGTGTGATGCACACTGAATGTGATATGAATGTAAAGAACATTCATCCACAGCCTGCTTCGGTTCACTGCATGGGGAGAAGCATCTGACTACAGAGCAAGGTGTAACAATGGAGACCATATAGCCCAGGGATGGGCCACTTTGATGGGGGTGGGGGTCACAAAAGATCTGAACTCATCATGAGGGACCGCAGTGGCTCGCGGGTCTGTGTACCCACATCCATACCTACACATGCAGTCAACTGATTTGTGCAATCAATCTATTTGTGCAGTTAATCTACTTAACTCTCTTAGCTGCATAGAAAAAGTGTTGCAAGTTTTCTGCAGTTCTACATATTTTGGCATGGGGCGGAGATAAATTGGGCAATTTTATAAAAAATCTCATGCAATTCTACTAATTTTGCCATGGGGCAGAGATACTTTTCTTTCAGTTTTGTAGCTAATTTCCTGCAATTGTATCCATTTTACCATGAAGTGGAGACATTTTAGTAGTTCTAAAGCTCATTTCCTGCAATTCTACACATTTTGACATGACTTATGCCATGTTAATATGATATCTGAGTGAGAGTGTGTCACGTCTCCTCCTGTTGCTCCCCTCCGGTGCTCTGATTCGCTGGTCTACTGAGCCACCGGTCTGAGCGCACCACCTCGGCAACACCAGAATGGAAACCCAACGCACCCTAATCACCTCCAGTGCACCTGCACCTCATCATCTCATCACCACCCCTATTTAGCCCTGGACTGTTCTGTATGATTGTTTAGCTTCGTGTCGTTTACTCTATGTTTGTTATTTCTCTTTCTTATTGTTAAGTAAACCTTGACCTTGTTAATTCCTTCGTCTGCCTCTTCGTATCCTCAGTACTCGTCACAGAATCACACACCAAACGGAAATTGATGCAGCAGGAGTTTCCCAGTGCCTCGACCAGCACCAGCAGCAGCTTGTCCAGTTGAACGCCACCATGCAGGAAGTGCTCCAAACTCTGCATAATCTACCCAGCGCTCCGGTTCCACCTCAGGGAGCGGCGAGTGCCCCCAATCCACCTGTTCCCGTGCTATCACCCACTTCTGCGGGAACCCTCGCCCTACCGGAGCACTATGACGGTAAAACTACTAAATGTAGCAGCTTCCTGCTACAGGTTTCACTTTATCTGGCGTGTCAGCCTGGGGCATATCCATCTGACCAAGCCAGGATAGCGCTGGTGATTTCGCTACTTAAAGGAAAGGCGCTGGATTGGGCCACGGCAGTCTGGGAAGGAGAGGAGGCAGTGGCGTTTCCCTACCCCACCTTACTCGCTCGGTTCAGGGCGGTGTTTGATCATCGCACGGAGGGAAAAGATGGGGGTGAGCGTCTCCATCTACAACAGCGAGAGGGGCCCGCGTCCGAGTACGCGCTGAGCTTTCGCACAGTGGTGGCGTCTTCCGGCTGGAATGAGCGTGCTCTGCGCACGGCCTTCAGGAGAGGCTTACGGGAGGACATCAAGACGGAACTCGCATGTCGGGACGACGAGATGGACCTTGATACCCTCATCACCACGTCCATCCGTCTTGACGACTTGTTGAGAGAGAGACGGCGTTCCCAACACCTCCCGGAGCCTCGACGCTCACCCCATCTGAGCTATGGAAGCCGCCCTGCTTCTGAGTCCTCACCCATGGAGGTGGGCAGCACCTCCTACACCACCACGGACCACAGGTCTCCTGGCGGCTCCCTATCTAGGCAATATGACTCCCGTCGCCGCTCCGTGAGTGTTACGTCAGCTCCTATCACAAAACCATTGTTTTTAGTTCCCATAACGGTGACTGTTTATTCCTTCTCTTCCACTTCTACTGCTATGATAGATTCCGGATCAGCGGGGAACCTTATAGATAGGGAACTGGTCTCTGAATGGGGGTTGCCCACCGTGCCACTGCCATCTCCGCTACACGTCACCTCACTGGACAATAAACCCCTTGGATCAATCAATCAATTTTATTTTATATAGCCCTTCTTACATCAGCTAATATCTCGAAGTGCTGTACAGAAACCCAGCCTAAAACCCCAAACAGCTAGTAATGCAGGTGTAGAAGCACGGTGGCTAGGAAAAAACTCCCTAGAAAGGCGAAAACCTAGGAAGAAACCTAGAGAGGAACCAGGCTATGAGGGGTGGCCAGTCCTCTTCTGGCTGTGCCGGGTGGAGATTATAACAGAACCATGCCAAGATGTTCAAAAATGTTCATAAGTGACAAGCATGGTCAAATAATAATCAGGAATAAATCTCAGTTGGCTTTTCATAGCCGATCATTAAGAGTTGAAAACAGCAGGTCTGGGACAGGTAGGGGTTCCATAACCGCAGGCAGAACAGTTGAAACTGGAATAGCAGCAAGGCCAGGCGGACTGGGGACAGCAAGGAGTCACCACGGCCGGTAGTCCCGACGTATGGTCCTAGGGCTCAGGTCTCTCAGTTGGCTTTTCATAGCCGATCATTAAGAGTTGAAAACAGCAGGTCTGGGACAGGTAGGGGTTTCGTAGCCGCAGGCAGAACAGTTGAAACTGGAATAGCAGCAAGGCCAGGCGGACTGGGGACAGCAAGGTGTCATCATGCCCGGTAGTCCTGACGTATGGTCCTAGGGCTCAGGTTCTCAGAGAGAAAGAGAGAACGAGAGAATTAGAGAGAGCATACTTAAATTCACACAGGACACTGGATAAGACAGGAGAAGTACTCCAGGTATAACCAACTAACCCCAGCCCCCCGACACATAAACTACTGCAGCATAAATACTGGAGGCTGAGACAGGAGCGGTCCGGAGACACTGTGGCCCCATCCGAAGAAACCCCCGGACAGGGCCAAACAGGAAGGATATAACCCCACCCACTCCGCCAAAGCACAGCCCCCGCACCACTAGAGGGATATCCCCAACCACCAACTTACAATCCTGAGACAAGGCCGAGTATAGCCCACAGAGGTCTCCACCACAGCACAAACCAAGGGGGGGGCGCCAACCCAGACAGGAAGATCACGTCAGTAACTCAACCCACTCAAGTGACGCACCCCTCCCAGGGACGGCATGAAAGAGCACCAGCAAGCCAGTGACTCAGCCCCTGCAACAGGGTTAGAGGCAGAGAACCCCAGTGGAGAGGGGAACTGGCCTGGCAGAGACAGCAAGGGCTGTTCGTTGCTCCAGCCTTTCCGTTCACCTTCACACTCCTGGGCCAGACTACACTCAATCATATGACCTACTGAAGAGATAAGTCTTCAGTAAAGACTTAAAGGTTGAGACCGAGTCTGCGTCTCTCACATGGGTAGGCAGACTGTTCCATAAAAATGGAGATCTATAGGAGAAAGCCCTGCCTCCCGCTGTTTGCTTAGAAATTCTAGGGACAATTAGGAGGCCTGCGTCTTGTGACCGTAGCGTACGTATTGGTATGTACGGCAGGACCAACTCGGAAAGATAGGTAGGAGCAAGCCCATGTAACGCTTTATAGGTTAACAGTAAAACCTTGAAATCAGCCCTTGCCTTAACAGGAAGCCAGTGTAGGGAAGCTAGCACTGGAGTAATATGATCAAATTTCTTGGTTCTAGTCAGGATTCTAGCAGCCGTATTTAGCACTAACTGAAGTTTATTTAGTGCTTTATCCGGATAGCCGGAAAATAGAGCATTGCAGTAGTCTAACCTAGAAGTAACAAATGCATGGATTAATTTTTCTGCATCATTTTTGGACAGAACATTTCTGATTTTTGCAATGTTACGTAGATGGAAAAAAGCTGTCCTTGAAACAGTCTTGATATGTTCGTCAAAAGAGAGATCAGGGTCAAGAGTAACGCCGAGGTCCTTCACAGTTTTATTTGAGACGACTTTACAACCATCAAGATGAATTGTCAGATTTAACAGAAGATCTCTTTGTTTCTTGGGACCTAGAACAAGCATCTCTGTTTTGTCCGAGTTTAAAAGTAAAAAGTTTTCAGCCATCCACTTCCTTATGTCTGAAACACAGGCTTCTAGCGAGGGCAATTTTGGGGCTTCACCATGTTTCATTGAAATGTACAGCTGTGTGTCATCCGCATAGCAGTGAAAGTTAACATTATGTTTTCGAATAACATCCCCAAGAGGTAAAATATATAGTGAAAACAATAGTGGTCCTAAAACGGAACCTTGAGGAACACCGAAATGTACAGTTGATTTGTCGGAGGACAGACCATTCACAGAGACAAACTGATATCTTTCCGACAGGTAGGATCTAAACCAGGCCAGAACTTGTCCGTGTAGACCAATTTGGGTTTCCAGTCTCTCCAAAATAATGTGGTGATCGATGGTGTCAAAGGCAGCACTAAGGTCTAGTAGCACGAGGACAGATGCAGAGCCCGGTCTGAGCCATTTTTAAAAAGGGATTTACCAAAACCTAAAAGTGCAGTTCGGCTAGGGGGG